GCTTTGATGGGACCCCGACGGGTCTTTAATAAAATAATTGAATTGAATTGAATTGAATTGAAAATGAGACTCGGCCCTAGGGTTTAAAAGGAGGTTTAAATCATTTCTCTTCATGGTAGTTGGAAAGCGGTCCTCAACTTTATGACCATAAATTCGACTGATGTGTGTTTCAACTGCTACCGTCTCCCACGTCCGAATTCTTTGATATTCGTCCCAGTTAAATGTCCTTTTCCCGTATTTAGGTGACACTCTATCCACAAGTTTTCGCTTCCCCCTGCTGTCGAAATCCTTTTTAGTAAAATTCGTGAGCTCGTTTATTACTCTTGACGTTTACGTCCAACAATGCTCTTCTATTCCTTGATCTTACAGTTCGTGGATAGCTGCGCCTTTTCTTTCATTCCTGTACCAGGCAATTCAGTGGGCTGTAACCATCCCAGAGTTAGCGGTATTGCGTCTGTTGTGAACGTTACCGTGCTAATTGTATTTCTAGATTTGGTCATTTGTTATTGTGTCTTCTCATCAGAAGGCGGCTCCTCGGTATATACATGCATGAATAAATCGGATAAGAAATTCGTCTTAGTTGAATTGTCGAGTAACTTACTTCCTGATAATTCTTTAGACAAGGAATGGAGTCAATTGCATTTTGGCTTATCCACGCATCCCAAGGGCTTTTCGGATCTTTCAGCATTCCTTTGGCTATATCTGACTTCAAAACCGTTTGTTCTCTTATCAGAGAATTTGTACACGTATTTAGCTGCTTCATACATCCAAAAAACTTTCGGGCCGTTGGCAGCGGGCTTAGCTCCTACAACTGAGCCCAACTGAGCACGACGGAATTATTCTGCGCTCAAACTGGGACAATTTCGACTTGGATACCATCCCACAGTTACAGTCTCTGACATTGATACTGGAACCGTACGTACAGACTAACTTTGTGCATTTTTGGAATATTTTTTCACGCATCGAAATTCGCCTGGAACCTGGATTAAGTGCAATTTGTTTATCAGCACGGTCCAACTGACAACGCAACTGGCTACGCAACCGATTCACGGTATACAGCCTAGAAAACCAATCGCTCAAAATCCTTCAAGGTCTGCAGTTATTCAAGTCCCACGAGATCTGGATAGGGCTAAGTCGCTTCTGATTAAATTCAACAAAATTTATCGCATTTTAAGTATTTTTTCGCTTATTGAGTTTTGAATACTCACTTTAATTCATCATATATAAGCGGACGTATTCGTTATAACATCGAAAGCGGAATTATACCTATTATATCACGTCGAAGTTTATGGATTCTCAGCAGGCTAACTGTAGTAGTACGGCCAGCGACGGCACCTCTTTGGAAGATAAGTCCGGTGAGTTGTCCTTCGCATCCAGACCCTGTGGTCGCTCAACCTTCGCCTCCAGCCAACGACCAGCAAAGCGTGCAAAAAGCGTAAATACCGCAAAAAGTGTGAGGTACGAAGACGAGCCTTGTGCTGGGTGCGCAGATATCGCCTCCAGCCAACGACCAGCAAAGCGTGCAAAAAGCGTAAATACCGCAAAAAGTGTGAGGTACGAAGACGAGCCTTGTGCTGGGTGCGCAGATATTCAAATCAAAGTAGAACAACTGGAAAAGGAGCTTGCTGATTTAAGGACGCTCGTGCAACAGACCGCAGTCGGCCAGAACGTGTCCAGTGTTAGAATCCCAAAAACGAAGAGGAAAACGCAAAAAACGCGAAAAAATCTCACCTCGGGGGAATCTTCAAACACGAGTAGCAACTCAACAGCCAAAACCGCAGACGCCGGTAACAGCAGGAGAATGAAAACGAAGCCGCCGATAAAGGGAGACTCGATTCCCACGCACGATGTCTTAAGCGATGTCGCAAAAAAATTACCTATCGCGGAATCCATGTCACCGAAGCCTCTTGCTGTAAGTGATGGGATTTCTGTTCTGCCTGGAGACGATATACCTGGGTCATCCAGTCTACTGTTGCTCTCTTGTTCTGGCAACCACCCCGAGCGCACCACAGAGCACGTATCTGAATGCGAAGACATAAACCAGTGGGTAGAGGGGAGAGGGAAACGCCATGACAGGATTCTGAAGTCCCAGCCAGCCCTGATGGGTTGCTCGGGACGGTCGGTAGACAGTAAAAGTGTGCGTCCAAGCGATGACTCCGTAAATCGTCCTCGCCCACATGCAGCGCATTCACCGGAAAGACAAAGTAAGGAGGACCATGCTCGCCAGCAGTGTCTGGTTATTCAGGGTTTGTCAGAATCGAATGCAGTCAGACCTGAAGACCGTGTCTCAGAGGACCTTGCTTCTTTTCATGGTCTGCTAAATCATTTACTGCCGGCAGACATGGAAATAAAGGTTCTGAAAGCATTCCGGATAGGAAAAAGGAGTGAAGACAGGACAGTAGCACAACCACCTCGCCCTCTCAAAATTATGCTGGAGAACAAAGAGCAAATCAAGTTGATCCTCTCTAAAAAAACTGATCTCAGAAACACACACAAACAGGTTTTTTTCAACCGGACTATTCACCAGCGGAACGGCTGAAACGTCGGGAACTTTTCTTGGAGTTAAAATCAAGACTGAAGTCTGACGAACACAATCTGGCTATCTTCAAGGGGAAGGTAGTTCGGAAATATATGCCGTTTCAGTGGAACCAGCCTGTAATACTACGAACGACGACAGCTACTCAGCTAAAACAGACACCTTCGTTGAACCACCTGATCAAGGCGCCAACACAAGTGAGGCCGTAGCGTCCAGTGATCTGACTGAAACAAGGCATGTAAATGGAACCAATCAGGTAACGGAAGAGCCTAGAGAACACGACGTCCGCGATAACGGAGTACTGCTCACAGCAGTAACAAATGCAACGGGAAATTCGGCTGCTGCTAAACTGAGGTGCTTGTACACGAATGCCCAAAGCCTCATATCGAAACTAGACGAACTAAAACTTTGCCTTGTTGAGCTGTCTCCAGATGTTTTAGCAGTAACTGAGACCTGGCTGTCCGGGAATATTAGCGATAACGAAGTAGCCTTGCCTGGATACCAAATTTATCGGAGGGACAGGGAACATCGTCAGGGTGGTGGTATCGTTGTGTATGTGAATGACGGTCTGGCAGTGTCGGATAACACCACCAAGTTTGTGTGCAGTACGGAAGCTATCTGGTTGACCATCAAGGCTACCGGTTCCCACTGTCTCGATGTCCTCACTGTCTACCGACCACCTCGGACAGACCGAATCGCCGACACTCAACTATTGGAGCAGTTGGATAAATTTTCCAGTCGACCTAACATCATGATCATGGGCGACTTCAACGCACCAGGAACAAACTGGAATACCCTCCAAGCGTCAGGTCCAAAATCGGCATTCGATTACCGCCTGTTGAGCAAGACATTAAATGCGTGCCTCACACAACATGTAATGTTCCCAACGAGAACACGTGAAGGACAAAGGGCAAACTGCCTGGATCTGGTCTTTACGAAAACACCAGACAGCATAGACGAGATCGCCTCCATGCCGTCCCTTGGCCGAAGTGACCACGTAGTGCTTATGTGGGATTATTCGTTATTCTCCATTTCACACACTCCAGGCCACAAAAGGCGTAATGTTTGGCGGGGCGATTTCAATCAGATGACGGCAGACTTAGCCGGTCTTGACTGGGGCTCTTTGTTTACGGGGAGTGCCAACGATGACTGGGAGCTGTTCAAGAATGTCCTTCTGCAGCTCATCAACAACCGCTGCCCACTGACTAGTGTAAGACTGAACAAACGCCCTGGGTGGCTAAATAGCAACCTCAAGAAAGAAATCAACAGAAAGCACAAATTGTGGAGAAAATACTGCGTCACTAGACAAGCTGAATGTTTCAACACCTACAAGACACAGAGGAACAAACTGAGGAAGCTGATAATTCAGACGCGGCGGGAATTCGAGAAGAACTTGCTACAAAAAGCAACGCAGAACCCAAAATTGCTCTACAGCTACCTCCGACGAACTACAAGGAACAGGCACCAAATCCCCTTGATAAAGACTACTGATTACGTTGAGATCGCTGATAGTGGGGATAAAGCTGCGTATTTTTCACGGTTTTTCCAATCAGTCTACACAAACGAGGCAAGGTTCCTTCCTCCCTCCACAGAAGAACTGCCGACTCCAAGCGTCAGTGATATACTCTTCTCAGAAGGCATTGTCCGAAGAGAATTAGAGGCATTGAACGAATCGAAGTCGCCAGGACCAGACGAGATTCCATCCAAGCTTCTGAAGGAACTTGCCCGTGAGCTCTCTGTGCCTTTGTCGATGCTCTTTCAAACGTCATTTGACACTGGAACACTTCGTATCGATTGGAAGCTGGCGCATATTACTCCGCTACACAAAGGAGGTAACAGGGCAGCGACGACAAATTACCGGCCCATAAGCTTGACATGCATTCTCTGCAAAGTTATGGAAAGGATCATAAAGTGTGAACTAATGCAATTCCTGGAAGTTCACGGTCTGCTATCGAAATGCCAACATGGGTTCCGAAAAGGAAGATCCTGCACGACAAACCTGCTGCAATCGCTCCAGAGCTGGACCCAAGCTCTCGACGACAGGCACGCGGTCCACATAGCCTTCATCGACTTCCAGAAGGCTTTCGACACTGTGCCACACCAAAGGCTCTTACATAAGCTGAAAAAAATAGGGATCGGTGGCAACTTCCATAAATGGATCGAAAACTTCCTTGTGGGTTGACAGCAGGTTGTGTGCGTCGGTCGGGGAAAATCAGATCCGGCTATGGTCGATAGTGGTGTCCCCCAGGGTTCAGTTCTGGGACCCATTTTGTTCCTTATCTACGTGGACGATGCCGCAAGAGATTTGGACTGTGAAGTAGCAATGTTTGCGGACGACATGAAGATATGGAGTGTAATTCGTGGTCCTGCCGATGAAGACAGACTGCAGATGAACCTGAACCGGTTGGAGGAGTGGTCAAACCGTTGGCTCCTGCGGTTCAACGTTGCCAAATGTAGCATACTTCGCCTAGGCAACACAGCCAGATCCGCCAGCACAAGAGGCTACTTTCTGGGCGGTGCAACCCTACAAGAGGTCGAAGCCCAAAAGGACCTCGGTGTGCTTACGACGAGTTCCCTAAAACCATCCGCCCACTGTTCGAGGGTGGCAAAAAGCGCAATGTCCGTACTGTACTCCATCAAGCGTGCGTTTATGGACTTTGACGAAGAAGCTTTCTCTAAGACATTCGGAACATTCGTCCGGCCGCATTTTGAGTACGACATACAAGCTTGGAGGCCGTGGGCTGTTGTGGATCAAAACGGCCTCGAAAGAGTCCAGAGGAGAGCCACGAAGATGGTCAGGGGTCAAAGCTCCTTTCCTTATGCGACCCGCCTAGTAAATCTGAACCTCTTTCCTTTGAGTTACAGGCAACTTCGCGGAGATCTCTTGCAAGCCTTCCGCATTGTAAAGGGGTTGGACTGCAGTATGGCCTTCGAGGACTTTTTTGAATTTGCTACCACGACCAACCTCCGAGGTCACCCGTTAAAACTGCGCACTCAGCAGGCACGGCTGGATGTGCGGAAGTTCTCCTTCTCGGTTCGGGTGGTCAAACCGTGGAATGAGCTTCCCACAGATGTTGTGATGTCACCATCCATACAAAGTTGTAAGAAGAATCTGGACATATTTATGTTCCGCAATGACCAAGAGCGATGAGAAGTCGAGCTCACCCCCTGTAACTCCTTCTCATTTTGTCCCACCATTATGGGCGTGTTCGAACTATTTCAGCCCAGAACATCTATCTGTACACCACACATTTTTTACGTTGCAAATAGGGTACTCAAAGGCTTACGCGTATTTCCCTCAATAAACTGAACTGAGCTGAACTGAAATAGTCGTTTTTCTTCTTGAGATTGCACTTTATTTTCGATGTCACCCACTTGGTCGAAAGGCGCAATCTCCTTTTAAACAGGCAACAGTTCTCTACCAAATACCGCGTCATATTCTTGAAGGAAACCCAGACGAGTATGAGTCCAGTACATGTGAAGGGTTCCATCTTATCCTACTCAGTTACCCTCTCCTTTAGAAATAATCCCCTTTCCATATGTTTATCTCCCCAATGTTCCAATTATGAGAATAAAAATTCGTTGTACTTTTAAGCGCGAAGGCACTAATCACCCCGACCCACGGAAGTGTTAGAACTCAGTCAAAGTATGTAGCTGTTATCCCTAGTTATGATGAGCTCTAAAATCGGCGGGCTTTTGCATTTGCCCGGCCTTTTTGTAGTTCTCTATTCACGTGTGGATTTTTATTTATTCTCCATTTCTGTGCTTATTGCCCTTCGATATATTGAACTGTTTCACACCCTTGTTTGTCTGAACTAAGATTATGAGGTCGTCTATACAGTACGCTAGCACCCTTTTAAAGGTAATTAAATCGTCAATTTCACTTGTGAACGACCATGATGCAAACTGTTGTACTTTTCGGCCAATATGTCGTATTTGCGATCGTTCTGTGTTGAATTTATCAAATTTTCGTCAACAACGGCCTATTAATCGGAAAAAACACCGGTATGGCTGGTAACTCGCATGCAAACGTCAGCCGAAGTATAAATTCTCAATTCCTGCCTTCTTGTTGACAAATTGTCGTTCTATTTTCAACAAAGCCCATGATTTGGAGCTACATTTGTCGAAAAATGAACACAGCAGAACTGAGGTGGTTTGCCTTCAAGAGACGTGGTGAAACAGTAACATTGATTCGCACCTTCCCTGCCAGCACCAGCCCCCTCTGGCCCCCTCATAGCCCCGCCTCATGAGGGGGCTATGGCGGGGCAAATCCCCGATGTGGCCCCCTCTAGCCCCCTCATCGAAAAAAATGCGCAGGGTGACACCTTATAATTGTCGTTTTTAGCCCCTATTTTAACTCACTTAATCAATATGTCTTTCATGGAGTCCAAGAGTCCCGACGCCTGACGCACAGTGAGAATCACTCCCATCCCCAAAAAGCCCGATAACTTCAGTCCTAAATCTTTTCGTCCAATTGCCTGCTCCGCCGCAATACTAAAGCTTGCTGAAAGAGTTGCCCTAGATATCATAAAGCCTTTTTCTTCCAGTTTTTCTGAACCTTTACAATTTAAATACAAAGCCAAACGCAGTACTTTAGACGCTGTTGTTCTTGTGGTCCACTCTGTTCTAAAAGCATTAGACAAGGGTTGCCGCGAGTATGCGTGCGCTTTTCTTGATTACTCCTCCGCCTTCAATACCGTCCCGCGCCCTCTTCTCCTTACCAAAACCTTCGCGTGAGGCTCTCCAGGCTGGGTCGTTTCTTGGCTTGGCGATTATTTTACCTCCCGCACTCAATTTGTCCAATCTGGCAAGCGGAAATCTACGATGCTCCCCAATGACTGGGGTGTTCTTCAAGGTTCCATTCTATCCTCTCACCTTTTCTTCCTCTACACTGACGCTTTAAGGTCACCTAATGACTGTCTTTTGGTCAAGTATGCTGATAATGCGGTTGTTGGACACCCTCTCAAAAGTCAGACACACCTCCGGTCTCTAAAGAATGGCCTAAATCATGTGCTGGTGTGGTCGGAGGAAAATGGCCTCCTAATTAACAACCAAAAATCCGTTCAGTGTATATTTCTACTGCGGCCCTCTCCTAATCCTGAATCCTCTGACATTCTTCCTAACGAAGTATCCTCTCTCAGGTACCTTGGCGTTATTTTGTCCTCAAATATTTCATTTTCCCTCCATATTGAGTCCTTATTTATTAAAGTTTGTAAACTTCTTTATAACATACGTCGTTTACGTTCCTACGACACACCTCAACCTTTAGTCTGCCGATTCATCGATGCCTGCATTCTTCCTCTTATTCTATACTGCTCTCCTGCCATTTTTCCCGCTTTGCTTTTTCAGTTCACTTCAGTTCAGTTTATTGAGGGAAGTAGGCGTAAGCCTTTGCGTACCCTATTTGCAACGTAAAAAATGCGTGGCATACAGATAAATGTTCTGGACTGAAATCGTTCAAACACGCCCATAATTGTAGGACAAACTGAGAACGGGTTACAGGGGGTGAGCTCTACTTCTCATCGCTCTTGGTCATTTTGGAACATCAATATGTCAAGATTATTCTTAAAACTTTGTATGGATGGTGACATCACAACATCTGCGGGAAGGGCATTCCATGGTTTGACCACTCGAACAGAGAAGTAGAACTTCCGTACATCCAGCCGTGCCTGCTGAGTGCGCAGTTTTAACAGGTGACCTCGGAGGTTGGTTGTAGTAGCAAATTCAAAGAAGTCCTCGAAGGCCAGACTGCAATCCAATCCCTTAACAATGCGGAAGGCTTGCAAGAGATCCCCGCGAAGTTGCCTGTAACTCAAAAAAGAGGTTCAGATTTACTAGGCGAGTTGCATAAGGAAAGGAGCTTTGACCCCTAATCATCTTCGTCTCTCTCCTCTGAACTCTTTCGAGGCAGTTTTGATCCTCAACAGCCCACGGCCTCCAAGCTTGTATGTCGTACTCTAAATGCGGCCGGACAAATGTTCGGAATGTCTTTGAGAAAGCATCTTCGTCAAAGTCCATGAACGCACGCTTGATGGAGTACAGTACAGACATTGCGCTTTTTGCCACTCTCGAACAGTGGGCGGATGGCTTTAGGGAACTGGTCGTCAGCACACCGAGGTCTTTTTGGGCTTCGACCTCTTTTAAGGCTGCATCGCCCAGAAAGTAGTTTCCTGTGCTGGCGGATCTGGCTGTTTGGCCTAGGCGAAGTATGCTACATTTGGCAACGTTGAACCGCAGGAGCCAACGGTTTGACCACTCCTCCAACCGATTCAGGTTCATCTGCAGTCTGTCTTCGTCGGCAGGACCCCTAATTACACTCCATATCTTCATGTCGTCAGCAAACATTGCTACTTCGCAGTCTAAAGCTCTTGCAGCATCGTCCACGTAGATAAGGAACAAAATGGATCCCAGTACTGAACCCTGGAAAAGTTCTCTAACTGTTCCAACAATTTATTGTCGGCGATTTAGTCTGTCCCAGGTGGTCGGTAGACAGTGGGGACATCGAGACACGGGGAACCGGTAGCCATGATGGTCACCTAATGGCTTCCGTGCCGCACACAAACCTGGTGGTTTCTTCCGACACTGCCCGGCCGTCATTCACATACACAACTGTGCTACCACCCTGACGATGTTCCCCGTCCCTCCAACAAATTATGTATCCAGGCAAGGCTACTTCGTTATCGCTAATAGAATAGAATAGAATAGGTTTATTGTAGCGACCCTTGGGCCATGTCAGTCCCCTTTGAACTCATGAAAAAAAACCTAAAACATACTCGTCAATTTCAACTGCACTTTCCCTGTCCCTCCGATAAATCTGGTATCCACGCAAGGCTACTTCGTTATTACTAATATTCCCGGACAGCAAGGTCTCGGTTACTGCTAAAACATCTGGAGGCAGCTCGGCAAGGCAAAGTTTTAGCTAATCTAGTTTCGATATGAGACTTTGGACATTCGTGTACAAGCACCTGAGTTTTGCGCCAACCGAATTTCCCGTTGCATTTGTTACTGTTTTGAGCATTACTCCGTTATCTCGAACGACATGTTCTCTGGGCTGATGGGTTCCATTTATATGCGTTGCTTCAATCAGATCACTGGACATTAAGCGCTCACTTGTGTTGCCGCCTTGAGCAGGTGGTTCAACGAAGGTATGTGTGTTAGCTGAGTAGCTGCCGTCGTTCTTAGTATTACAGACTGGTTCCACTGAAACGGCATATATTTCCGAACTACCTTCCCCTTGAAGATAGCCAGATTGTGTTCGTCAGACTTCAGTCTTGATTTTAACTCCAAGACAAGTTCCCGACGTTCCAGCCGTTCCGCTGGTGAATAGTCCGGTTGAAAAAAACCTGTTTGTGTGTGTTTCTGAGATCAGTTTTTTTAGAGAGGATCAACTTGATTTGCTCTTTGTTCGCCAGCATAATTTTAAGAGGGCGAGGTGGTTGTGCTGCTGTCCTGTCTTCACTCCGTTTTCCTATCCGGAATACCTTCAGAACCTTTATTTTCATGTCTTCGTGGAGTAACTGATTTAGTAGACCATGAAAAGAAGCAAGGTCCTCCGAGACACGATCTTCAGGTCTGACTGCATTCCATTCCGACAAACCCTGAATAGCCAGACACTGCTGGCGAGCATGGTACTCCTTACTTTGTCTTTCCGATGAATTCGCTGCATGTAGGCGACGACGATTTACGGAGTCGCTGTTTGGGTGCACACTTTTGCTGTCTACCGACTGTCCCGAACGACCCATCAGGGCTGGCTGTGACTTCAGACGCCTGTCATCGCGTTTCCCTCTCCCCTCTACCCACGGGTTCGTGTCTTCGCATTCAGATACGTGCTCTGTGGTGCGCTCGGGGTGGTTGCCAGAACAAGAGGACAACAGTAGACCGGATGACCCAGGTATATCGTCTCCAGGCATAAGAGAATTCCCGTCACTTACAACAAGAGTCTTAGGCGAGATAGCTTCTGCGCCAGGTAATTTTGTTGTGACATCGTTTAAGAGATCTTGCGTGGGAATTGAGTCTGATTTTATCGGCGACTTCGTCCTCGTTGTCCTGCTGTTACTGGCGTCTGCGGTTTTGTCTACTGGGTTGCAAATCGTGTTTGAAGATGTCCCCGAGGAGATATTTTTTCGGGTTTTTTGCGTTTTGCTTTTCGTT